AGCTTGTTCTCCACTGTATGTAGATGTCTTTTTCAGCAACAGTGGTCAACAGCAGCATCCAATCAATGATGCCTCTATTGAATCGATACACGCTGTTTAATGGTGCCCTGCTGCCCCTGCTGATTTGGTTGCACAGTCAGTTTGATGCACTCATGCGGCGTGATTAGTTGTGCTGTTCTGTTTTGTGTATGCTTTCTGCCTGTTTCTTGCCCATCACACTGGATCTGAGCACCATTGAAACAGCAGTCTACGCTTGCGCTTCTGTTTACAGTGATTCGGTTTTCATTTCCAACTTTGCACAGTTTTACACTGGCTTCAAATTTCATCATACGTCCTCCTGCGAATGTGGCANTCTACGCTTGCGCTTTTGTTTACAGTGATTCGGTTTTCATTTCCAACTTTGCACAACTTTACACTGGCTTCAAATTTCATCATACGTCCTCCTGCGAATGTGGCCTAATCTGCTTACTCCTGCACATTAATAATTCATCCACTATTCTCCTCTACTTCTCTGTTTGATGTCTTCATTTGTACAGGGAGTATTCCCCTTTGTGATGTCATTTCGCTGAAGGGAAAACATGCCCCTTTGTCTGAGGGTTACTCTTTGCCGATCACTAGTTGACCAGGGTTGACTTGTGCTGTCCTTTTTCTTTTTCTCTCTTTGGTTTAGTTCTGCACTGGTCCTGTGCCATTGTGTACATAGCTGATTGTCTAATGTCTGTTTTTTAGCCGTGACTCTGTTTCGCTCGGACAGAGAAAGAAAGTCAACATGTGTCTCCTCAGGCTGAGCGCGCGCTCTGTGTCTTTGTGTTGGTGTCACGTTTTGTAATTTAGATTTGTTCGATTTCAATTGCCATTAGCAGTGACCAGTGTCCAGTGACAGTGCTCCGCTTTTTTGCTTATCTCTCCACTGCTGCCACCGCTGATATATGNCGGACAGAGAAAGAAAGTCAACATGTGTCTCCTCAGGCTGAGCGCGCGCTTTGTGTCTTTGTGCTGGTGTCACGTTTTGTAATTTAGATTTGTTCGATTTCAATTGCCATTAGCAGTGACCAGTGTCCAGTGACGGTGCTCCGCTTTTTGCTTATCTCTCCACTGCTGCCACCGCTGATATATGGCTTGCAGGGAACTACAGACGAGTGGACGACCCTCTTAGTGCTCCAATCCTGCTCTGTACAAGTCGTTTGTAAGGATTACCACTCTCTACAGTAGAGTGGCTATCACACTGTTGTCCCCTTCTGCAGATCATGTCACCCGACGCAACAACAGCAGGGACATTCAGCGTACTGTGAGCTCNCCACTCTCTACAGTAGAGTGGCTATCACACTGTTGTCCCCTTCTGCAGATCATGTCACCCGACGCAGCAACAGCAGGGACATTCAGCGGACTGTGAGCTTTTTTTTTAATTTTTCCCATATTTCTCCAGCTTCTCACTACTGCCCGGCAATCAGACACACATCGGCGACTGATTGATGCAGCTCGGCTGCAGGCTCGACTGCAACCGATGACATGCTGACATGGCGCAGCATGTGTTGAACAAATGCACTAGCCACTAGAGAGATGCACTGCAGAGATCGAGAAAAGAGAGAAAACTTCAGCTCAATGTTTCGCTCAGAACTGCTCTAATAAATCGTTGGCTGCATTTGCATGCAAAGTCAATGTCTTGGAAGAAGTCTAAGAAGACTCTGAAAGGCAGTTTTTAAAAAAGCTGCTCCATTCGCCACACACTGTCTTTCCCTATCTCTCTGTCTGTCTGTCAGTTGAGTTCTAACAGAAAAACTTGCAGAGAGACTAGCAGTAATAGTATCGACTTGGCGCGCTCACTGACTTGAATTTATTTACTTTAACTGAACTGTAGCTCTCAATTCCCATGAAGTGGCTGCGCGCGCTTTTTTGGTCTGTTTCAATGTGTCCAATTTCGGGCCCAGTTGTTGGAAACTGTAAAATGTAGCACATGTGGTGATGATTTACAGTGAAGAAGGGCAGCAGTGAAAAAACGCACAAAAGTGTGACCACTTTTTCATGATAAACACTTTGCTCGTCTATTAATAACCACCACTTGTTGCCCATTTCTCCACTCTCTGGTTCACCCGTTATTTTTTTAGAATTTCAGAAAAGACCTGATAGCAACCTGACCGACATTGTGTTTACATTGTTGTCTTTTCCCTTTTTTCATCGTTTTTTGTTTTTACATGTCGATGAGTTTAGTACGTCAAGATGAACTGTATAGTTTTGAGGAATCATCAACTGAGTGAAAAAGCAACAAACTCTTTGTTTCCACTTTGCCGCCACCGTTTTATTGCTTCCTTGTTTTTTGCTGACTTTAATTTAATCACTAAGCAAGAACAACTAGTGATTTTTTACTGTAATTGAGTTTCATCAGTTTGCAAATAAATTGGGAATGCCATTAAAAGAAAGAATGCTCGATTCTGTTTTGTTTATTTTTAAAGCAATTTTTGCCCAAAGACGCACTGCACTGCACACATTTAGGAGCATTTTGTTGTGCTGTAGTTTAAATTAATCCTTAATGACACATGTCGAGCTATGCAGTGTGTACATGCAGTGACCAGTGCCAATCAATCAGTAGTTGAGAGACTACCTCTATGCCTCTGTTTCCTGTGCTCCACTCATTACCTCGCTAATGATACTGGCACTTTTCATGTCACTCATTTGCATTGAGCTCACTGCTCTGCGATATTTCATCTTTTCTCCGTAGCTCCCTTTTCAGTGCAGACTGGTGAGGCACACCGAAGTCCGTGGCGTCTGAGGGGAAGTCGGTGGCGCGCCGAGCAAACCGAACACTGCAGGCTCGCCCCATTGCACTCTCGCACACGCAGACACTGTCTGATGGCATCGAAAAGCATCGAGTTGAACATCGAGATCATCAGTGGCTGAAGAAGCAGCAGCAGCAGAAAAGTACTACCGCTGGCGTTGATGCTAAGTTGGATGGTGAATGGCTGAATGGTGAAGGCACCGGACAGCAGCACTGCAGCTCCTGCCGTCGATGCTGGCAATTGCCCGGGATTGGGCGAGATTGAGATTAATTGAGTTTGCCGTCTTGTGTGGTCGTCCGCTCATCGGCTACGTCCATCGCGCATTGTATCGTTGCGCCACACACTCTTTCTCCAGTTTGCTTGCTTTGCTCCTTGCTTGTTTCGTTGGGTGGTCTACTTTGGCTGAAGCTGCTGGCAATGCTGCCACTGCTGATGCTTCTCTTACCGTCTTTGGCTGGCGGTTGTATCGTTCCCAGTGCTTCACCACCACCATCACCACCACCACTGCCATCATCATCATCATTTTTCCTTCTCCGTTGACTTGTTTTTTCCCTAGCACACACATCTTTGGCCATCCAGCACTGGTACTCCTGTGCCGTACTACCGCAAGCTCTGTCTCCAAAGCCGGCGGTGCAGTTGTCCAGTGTGTGTGTGTTGTTGTTGTTGTCTGATGAGCCTTGCGTGTGCCACTCGTCCGCCCAATCAATCTTTTCGTCTTCTCTTTCTTTTTTATTTCCCTTCAATTCACCGCTTACAACTCGCGTGCCACCTTGTCAATGTTTGCTCTTCAGGTTTGCTGCTACCTTTCCTTCGTTCTTGTTGTCTGTTGACCAAATAAGGCAAACTAACCTAGTATTTTAGTCCGGCGACTACTCTAGGTCTCTTTCTTTAAGTGAATGACAAAGCTACTTTTTTGTTTCGCTTATTACGACATAATTTACTTTATGTCTCTTCGTTTTACTACTGCATCGTTTGCAGGAAAGGCGAGAATCTGAGGCGGCAGCCGTTAAAGTTCAAGTGAATCACGCAGGTGGCATATATTAGGTGCTGCTATGACTGGCGCGTTAATTGCCGTAATTGAAGACGAATTAACAAATTAACAGGTCTGCGGAACTGCTCAACTGAAATCGGCTTAATTGGTTAACTTAATGACTGTGCTGCAGTAGTGTACAGAGATGCTGCATCTTCGACAACCGACCAGCAAACCAATGTGACGACTGCTGCCAAACGGTTGTAAAGTTTTTTGGCTTATTTTTGTTGAGGGAAACAGTCGGCAAACAGATGAGATGAAAGGATGGCCAGTTCACAGTTGATTTCTTATCAGTAGTGTGATTGGATTGCTTCTCTTGCTTCTTCTTTCTTTTACATTTTGACTACCATATCTCTCGCATTGTTTCAATCGTCAACTGTCCTGACAACTTGATTGCTGATGCTTTCAGAGCAATTTGTAGTAGCTATCTAGCAACCGCTGCTAAATTGTGGGGCACACTCAACAACTGACACAACGAAAATTTGCTCCGTTCAAGATTGCCGATTTGAAAATGATAAGAAAATTCAATGATNTGATTGGATTGCTTCTCTTGCTTCTTCTTTCTTTTACATTTTGACTACCATATCTCTCGCATTGTTTCAATCGTCAACTGTCCTGACAACTTGATTGCTGATGCTTTCAGAGCAATTTGTAGTAGCTATCTAGCAACCGCTGCTAAATTGTGGGGCACACTCAACAACTGACACAACGACAATTTGCTCCGTTCAAGATTGCCGATTTGAAAATGATAAGAAAATTCAATGAGAAACGTTTAATAACGAGTTGAAGTAGCAGCGTAATAAATATTTTTATTATTAATGTACACAGTGGTCGGCTATTTACAGTTGAACTATGATACAGTGGCTGCAACCTCGGCAGCTGCCTGGTTGCGCGGCAATGACTATGACTCAAAGAAAGGAAATGGGGGATGACGGTGGTACCACCAGGGAAGATCAATCAGGCACCTGAGTAACTGAGTAATTGGAGAAAAGGAAAGAGGAAAGGGCATGCTATAAACCTCCATATCGATTGGCCGCTAGCGAGAGGAGTGCACTGAGGAGCGCCATCAGTGGCCAGGCGTCTCTGGTCAACAGCGCACCTGCACTGTCACTCTGCTGTCCTGTCCTCTGCTTCTGCTGCCTGTGTCGGTGTCGCTTTGAAGTGTGCCGGTAGGCCGGCCCGGTGGCGGCAATCACCTCGATAGAGTTGTCCGGATGATCGTCGTCGGCACCACTGCCAGCAATTGGCTTCTTCGGCTTTCGCCCGTAGCAGTACCGTTCAGTGTTGTACTTGACCCGCTTGCAAGGAAAGTCCTCGGTGCCGTCGCAGTAGCAGGTGCGCAGCTTGGCCGCCTTCTCCTGGCGCTCGAGAATGGACAGGCTGTTCTTGCAACGGGAGTTGCACTTGGAGCCCTGGAAGAGGCCCCGACAGAACATGTTGTAGTACTCCAGTGCAGTGCGGCACATTGTGTCGGAGATGCAGATCCACCGGGCGGTGGTGCACGAGACGATCGAGTCGACGGCCACGGCGGAGTTCACCGCCGGCCTGCACACCTCGATGCGCCGCTTCACCATCTCGCAGTGCTTTGATCCTTCGCAGTCGCAGTTCACCAGTTCGTCGCCCTCTTCAGAGGAGACCAGCGCCACGAGGGCGTTTTGACAGCGCACGTGACAGCGGTCCGTTTTGCCGCCGATCAGTGTGGCGCACTCTGCCATGTAGCTGAAGAGGGACTGTCCACATCCCGTTCTGGAAAAGAAAAAAAGAGGTGAAGGTTAGAAGTCTGGTAGTGGTAATGAAAGATAATGGGTTTCGGAAATGGCCAGAGAAGAAGCGGTGGTTAGTTTCATCTGAGTAAGCACTAATTTACACTAGACATTTGCCTTGGTGGGACCCTCTGCACTGAGCCAATTCAATGGTCATCAGCCCTGAACAATTGTGGTTTGTCTGCACAAACTGGTCCTTCTTGCAATCACATCAGTAACAGCTCAACAAAATCTCATAAACAATCGCCTTCCGTTGATTGCTGTCCTTTGCACTTTGAACAGTGGAGCGGAAAGATGCTGCCAATGTGCTAAGTCGACGCAACAAAGACACTAATTGATCGGAAATCGACAAATGGTCAAAGACCTTTTGACGGCAGAACAAAGTTGCGCTGCTTTTAGTTAAACAAAACTGGTTCTCAATTTTAAACTCGACAACAAACTGCATCTTTTGATTGCTCTATATCTCTAGATTGATTTTGAAAAATCACTTGATAGTGTAATGGCAATTAATTAGCAAGTCATCACATGGTTGAAAGAGACAGATGAATGTTATGGACATCTCTCTTTTCTTCTAGTTGAAACAGCCATCTCCAGCGGAATCGACTTTACGAGTTTGTCAATCTTACACTGGCACTGGGCAGACTAATGAAAGAACGAGTCTTGGGCACGGCAAAGATTTGTGCACTTGCAGTATAATCGGGTTCAGTCGACAGTTCAACAGTTGGCAATGCTTGTAAAAACATATACAACCGAGCACACAAAGACAGTCTTATGTTTGTGCTTGAGGATTGAGCGCCAAAGAACATGTGCTAACATGTGTAACTTGCAACCATCACCAGCTTCAGCGGCAGCAGGGGCAGTAAGACGAAGAGCCATTAAAACGGAGGCTCATAGCAAAAAGAAAAGGAGCGACAAGACCATAATCATAAAAAAAGACACAGTCTCACTGACACAGAAGCGACTGAAAAAGAAGAAGCAGCAGCCTCTTTATCGGCGACTCGCTCGATGAAATGCTTGCATGGGGCATTTGATGCTTAAACTGCTCTTGCTGACACTTTGTTGTCGACATTAAATAATGCTCCAAAACTGCTGCTTATTTGTCCAGTGTCCTTTGAAACGATGGCTGCAATTTCAAACTGACAAATGATGATGGGCATTCTCCTATTATGCTTTGGGTGCTTCACCAGGAACGCCAGAGAGAAGTGCATGTAAGGTATGCTTAGTAAAGTACACACACACAGAGCAACCTATTTAATTAGCGACATTATCCTATCTACTGCCTAGTGGAGCACTGATAATTGTTCGTTACTAGCACCAGGCACGCACAAAGTCTGAGATCATCTGAGCATCAACAGTTGAGCCAGGGCAGTTGCTGCGCACAGATATGCACACAGCTGAAAGCATGCCCACTGACCTCTGACCCTCACCTGAAATGGGCTCTCTTTCTTGTCCTTTTGCTGGCAGCAGCTTTCTGTCCAACGGAGATCGGCCAAACAAACACAACAAGAACGGGGCTTGTGCGTCTGAGCAAACATGTTCAGCGCTGCAACCGGCAAGATGCTAGACATTCAACTGCTGCTGTCTCAGTGCTGACAGTGGCCACTGTGATTTGATTTGATATGTGTGCATGTGTATTCGGAGTATTATGAGTGTGTGTGTGCATATATGCATGTATGTTTGCAGAGAAAAACGATACAAACGATGTGTCGACAAACAACACACTCTAAAGCCGGTCGAGGGCACGTGTGTGCCGAGGACGGGGCGCTGGAGAAGTGCTGCAAAAGTCCAACGAGAGAAGTTGAGTTTAGTCCTATTCCTCGAGTTCAAAGACATTTTGGAGAAAAGAAGAGAGAATGCACCCTTATCAGTCAGTCAACCAGTTTGCATCCACGCCAGCCAATTGTTGTCTCGTTGACTTGCCACAACGTAAGTTAGGCGAGACAGAAGACAAATAACGTGTTGGCGAGACGCAGCCACACACACTCACAAATGGGACTGTCGCCAGTTCTGGACTAAGTGCACTTTGACATTAGTCTGCTGACAAATCATTAAGAGATTACTGTGCTGTACGACGCCTCGGCAACACTGCTTAGGCTGCTGCTGTGACACATTCTGAAAATGCCACTTCCACCAAATTCTCTCTTTTAATCGGCATACGATCACTTAATCTGTTGTCATTATGTAATCGATCATTCAATTAGCTGCATTTTTGGCAACACAGTGCTACTTGAAAGAAGTGTAAGTGCTACATGAGTGCTCGTGTTTGACTGCTGATTTGAATGCTGAACTAAAGGGACGACACTAAAGACGACGGTCTGCGGACACAAAACAACGACAATCAATTTGGTGCACCTGGCAGTGCTTTGCAGTTCGATTAGTCGTGCAAGCGTTTACTGGCAGTGTCTGTGCCGGGTAGCCTGTGCAAAGGGCACATTTAGCCATAAATTATGATCAGGTGAGCCGTTGAGCACTTGCGCAAATACACATTGAGCGAAAGTGGTGTGTACCTGGGTCCTGTTTGAAACTTCCAAGTCTACCATATGGCGAGTTTTTACTATGAGAACTAACTATGGCTACTTTGTTTTCTTATTTTTTGTTTACCTGAAGGCACATTTACTGCGGGCAAGGTCGCAGCTAATAGACTCCGCTGGACTGATGAAGATTGTGGCAATAGTGATGAGCAAAAGGAGTAAAGTTGATGAAGAGGTGAAGTGGGAGATGGGATTTGATCGCACTGGAGAGGAAGACGATATCGTCCAGGAAAGACGTAGTCTGAGAGATAGAGGTGACTGTGGGGACGATGATGAGGGTGACAACGATGTCGGCGACTGGTTTGGCGCCGAACTGTCCGCCAAATGACTGAGGTGATCGACAGCTGTCGGTATCATGTTTGCACGAATTAGTTGGATGGGGAAACAAATTTAATTAAGAGAAGAGAAAAAAACCGGTGCTGCGTTGTGTGACAGGCAGATGAGAAAGCCAAATGACAGCAAAAAATACGGAGACACACAGACGTTGCTAATAGCTTTTCCGCTGCAGACATTAGTTGCACCATCAAGTAGAGAGAATGCTGATGAACATGCTAATTGAAAACCGATGAAAAGGTTGAGAATAAAGACATCATCAATCAGAAATCAAAAGAAACGGCGTTTTGCGCTAGAGATGCCAAAAACAATGGTGCATATCGATTTATAAATACGATAGTAACTGATAATACGAATTTAAATTTAAAAAACAACAACAGTTTTTGGAAAAAGCTGGCAAAGTTGTATTCACAGAAGCAATTTAGTTGGTCAGGCTGATGATTGATCCGCTGATGAAGACATCAACTTCAAGAAGACAAGTGAAGACTGCTGTTGCTGTCGCTAGTGCTTCTTACACTGCAAACGACCAAGCTGTTCTGAGGAGCACGGTTCAAGCGAGGCGAAGTGCTTCTTTTGACTGAGTGCACTTTGACTGCTTCTGCTGCTTCTTCTTTTCCTTGCTGCCTGTTACAAGTGAAGAAGCAGAAATGCCAGCAGCAGCAGCAGCACCGTCTGCAGTCAACCAGTCTTGGCCTGCCTCTCCTCTTCTCTTTCCTCCGGCAGTGCACACTATTTTCTATCAGCTCTCACTAGTTCTGGCACTCTGAGCTTCCCATTTGAAGCTACACACAGGGAGAGAGAGAAACAGAGTAGACAGTGCAGATCAGAAGTTAGGGGCAGAGCCGCACTGGTAGTGCTGTTATTACCATTGCCACCGTCGACCGAAGAAGACGCAAGATGGTCTTAGTGCACTGCAAGTAGATCGCAAAGAAGGGGAGAAAGAGACGACTGGTGCCACCGAAACAGCGGCACTAGTAGTACTACCACCACATCACACCACCAATGTGCTCAGAATCAAATTGAGCCTGAAGAAGGTGGAGAAGATGGTAAAATAATAACAGACGAGCTGCTTTTCCTCTTCATCACATGGCGCAGTGGTGCGGCACTACTGTGGTAGCTCGATGATTACTGAACAGCTCACTTTGGATTTCTTTTGGCTCACGTGCATGATGCAGTCGTCTGCTGGTCAAGTCTTTTCTGTTTTTATTTTGTTATTTCGGTAGCTTAGTCAAGGTCGTTTAATGAGGTAAACCTTAGTGAAGGTCAGTTGTTTGTGGAAAATGAACTCAATGCTCAGTTTAACTTGAGCTCATCAGTGGTCACTTTTAGTGGAGCACACCATGCTGAGAGACTGAGGCAAGACTCGTACGCTTGTGGTCTTGTCTTCAGAGCGCTTCACTGATCGTTTTACCGTCCACTAACCAATCCTTGCTCTTCGGTCTGTGGTCGCCAGAGGCAACACACTGACACACGCACACAAACTTTTCCCGCCAAAGTGAACTTCAACTTTAGAGTCTACTGCAAGTACTGACTCAATTCTCTTTCTAGCACTTTGACTGCACTGGTAGGCGCAGAGTAACGGTGATTGCCAATAGTTGTCTATTCTACCATAAAGCAATTTAGTCGGTTTCAGTTGGCCACAAATCAGTCGTTGCCAGAATTATGACGTAATTACAAAAAAGTGAAAGAAAGGATTCGTTGGGACTGTGTTCAACAGTTGCTAGTGCAAGTGCAGTGATTAAGGGTGCCCAGTGGCTTTCACTACTTCAGTGGATTGACGCCAAGGCTTATTATGCTTTCCCGGTTCTGTCTGTCTGAGCTGGTCCACCACCACCACCAGCAGGAACTTTGCCACTAATAAGCGTGTCCCAAGCACCACTATGGCTTCTGCCACAAGTCGGACGCACGAACGCGCACAACAGATTTGCAGTGCTGAGGTGGGCACACTTGTCGCCTGCCACTCCACTGCGTCCATTCCCCCCTGTCACTCTGTCTCAGTCTGTCCACTGACGGTTCACTATTTTGTTTCTTTATTAGACTATGAAGCATTGTATATCTGTTCCACTGTTCTTTTTCTTCTGTTTGTTC